AGTTCCGTCAGGTGGTCGCTTATGCTTCTCGGCAGTTGAAACCGCATGAGGAGAATTATCCGACACATGATCTTGAGTTGGCAGCCGTAGTGTTCGCATTGAAAATTTGGCGACACTTTCTATACGGGGCCGATTTTATTGTCTACAGTGACCACAAAAGTCTAAAGTATCTGTTTGATCAGAAGGAGCTAAACATGAGGCAACGCCGATGGGTGGAATTTCTGAAGGATTATGATTTTGAATTGCAATATCACCCTGGTAAAGCCAATGTAGTAGCTGATGCTTTAAGCAGAAAGACGCTTGGTATGGCCAATTTGATGATTTCCGAGTATAACTTGATTGAGAAATTCAGGGATCTCCACATTCCTGTGAATACAGAAGATAGTCCACATTTATTGACTACTACGGTAGTCCTGAATTCATTAGTTGAGCGGATTAAAGAGGCTCAATTGCTTGATGAAGAGATTCAGTCTATGAAAGAGCAGGACTTTGTGTCCACTGATAGGTTCGGTCTTAAGTTTTACAAGGATCGAATCATTGTTCCAAAAGGTCAGATGGTAGATGAGGTATTAACTGAGGGTCACATGGGTAAGTACACTATCCATCCTGGTGCTACCAAGATGTACCAAGACTTGAAACGGAATTTCTGGTGGTCGGGAATGAAGAAAGACATTGCTCTATTTGTGAGTAAGTGTTTGACATGTCAGAAAGTTAAGATTGAGCATCAGAGACCTTCTGGATTACTGCAGCCCTTGGATATTCCGGAATGGAAATGGGTCAGTATTTCTATGGATTTTGTAGTAGCATTACCGAGAACTCAGGCTGGTTTTGATTCCATCTGGGTAGTTGTTGACAGATTGACAAAGTCTGCACATTTCATACCAGTGAAAACGAGTTTCTCCACAGAGCAGTTGGCTCGGATATATGTAAGAGAGATTGTGAAACTTCATGGTGTTCCTGAAAGTATCATTAGTGATCGGGACCCTAAATTTACTTCTAGACTCTGGGATGCAGTGCAACAGGCCTTCGGTACACAGTTGAGGCTGAGCACGGCTTATCATCCCCAGACTGATGGTCAGACTGAGAGGACTATTCAGACCCTGGAGGACATGTTGAGGGCTTGTGCCTTAGAGCAGGGAAATGCATGGGATAAATATCTTCCTCTAGTGGAATTTTCCTACAATAATAGTTATCATGCCAGTTTGGGCATGGCTCCGTATGAAGCTTTGTATGGCCGTAGGTGCAGGGCGCCTACTTGTTGGTCAGAAATTGGAGAGAGGCAGTTATTTGGGCCTGATATGGTCCAAGAGACTACCGATCAAATTATGATGATTAAGGATCGATTGAAGAAAGCACAGAGTCGCCAAAAGAGTTATTATGATGCAAAGCATAGACCCCTTGAATTTTCAGAAGGGGATCATGTATTTATCCGTTTGTCTCCGACTACGGGTGTTGGGCGTGCTCTAGGAGTGAGGAAGTTGAGTCCTAGGTTCATTGGGCCCTACCAGATTATGAAAAGGGTTGGACCTGTGGCTTATCAGCTTGCCTTACCTCCACATCTGTCAAATTTGCATAGTGTTTTTCACATCAGTCAACTTCGAAAATACGTGCCGGATGAATCCCACATTGTACAGCCGGACAATATCGAAGTAAGAAAAGACTTGAAGTTTGTTGTGGGACCGTTTAAGGTTCTAGCACGTGATGAAAAAGTGTTGAGAAACAGGACTATTCCCATGATCAAGGTACAATGGGAAGGATTGACTCCTGAGGACGCCACTTGGGAGCGGGAGAATGAAATTCTCCAGCGATATCCTGAGTTTGATGTCAGGTATATGTATATTTGATATTTGATTTTGTGGGCAAAATCCTTAAAAGGTGGGGTGAATATAATGACCCTAACTGGTAAATCTTAGTTAGAGATTTAATTTAAGGATTTAAATGCCATAATTAGATTCAGTGAGCGATTTCGAGTATTTTGACTGTAATCATGACTATGTTATGAACAGTGCGTTCTGCCGGAGAATTTACAGTTTTGTGAATTAACCGGTAGAGCTTAAAATGAGCAAAATAATTTTAGGAACATAATTTGAAAATTCTGATGACAAATATGAGTTCAGAACGAAAAATTGTATAGTCTGGCACTTTCCGTGAAAATCTCGTGAATAGTGTTTCTACCGGGTATTTTGTACTGCTGTTTAAGCAACCGGTAGAGTCCAGAAATAAATAATTGATGAAATAAGAATAAGAAAGTCCAATATATGCCAAGCAAGTCAATATAGGCCCAAGAAAATGATAAGTTTATAAGTTTTAAGTTTCGTAAGTAAAGGAAGTACAATTAGTGATGCACAGTGCATTTCGTCAAAAACGGTGCAAAAACCATACTGTGAATTATGAATATTGTTACTTAGGAAATAAAAATTAATTTAAATGACTTTAGAAAAATAAAAATATATTTGTAGCTTTAAGTTAAGTTCCGGGTCAATTAAGTAAAAATACGCGATAGAAAAACAACCGGGTAAAAGGGCCACATGTGCTTAAAAGCTTAAGTGACTCAAATGAGCACTATTCAAAATCAGCTCTCTCTCCTCTCTTCCTCAAAGAAGCCGAGCTGCACTTGGTGAAAAGGGGGGGTAGGGTTTGGTTCTTCATTTCTTTGATTCTCACTCCAAAGTTAACAAAATCACAAGTCCCACTACTTGAAATCGATGGGAAACCACCCAATGAGTCCATCCCACCCATTTATTTGAGCTATCATTGGTTGTGTGAGGAGATATTTCCTTCCCCAAATTCGTGTACTATTCATCAAGAGGGCAAAATGAAGTTTTTGATGGAGATTCTCTTGGTGTAGGTCTTCTAGGCTTTGGGTAGTTGATTTGAGGTAACAAACCTCTATTTCCATGATGTTGTTTTGATTATTTAAGTTATCAAATTGTGTATATGCCTTGGGTGGAAAAGCATGATGTGTTAAAATATGTATTGATGAGGAATAATTGATATTTTGATGTATAAAATGAAAATAAGCATTTGTATGTATGTAAAAAAAATTAGAAAAAAATCCTATGATTTCCTCTACATGTTCGGCCATCATAGATGAAGAGTAGGTTGTTGTGCAAAAATTTTATCTTAAGAATTGTGAAGGTATAGTGTGTTGGAAATGAGTGAAAATGGATGAGTTAGTAAGAATGCCTAAGTAAAAAGGACTTGGTGTCTAAACTCAAAATAGGAATTTAGTGGAAGCATTCCTAGGTGTTTGCAAGTTGTAATGAAGTAACGAAAATGCATTGTAAAAGAGAAGGATCTTTGGAAATTCCCCTTGTAGGATTCGACCTATAGGGTATTTAGGGACATATTTTGTACATTTTATTTTAAATAAAATGTGTTGTAATAAATTGTATAAAGGTGATGAGTTTTGAAGAAAAATAGCATGATTTATGTTGAAAATTCCTAAGGGAATGGTTGATTAAATTAAAGAACACCAACGGTTATAAAGAGGTCTAGACTTGTGTATTGGCATAGGATTGGCAAAAATGCAAAGAAAGGAAAATAAGCGATAAAATGTATGCTTATGAAATAATTATGGTATTGCATCATTTTATTGATGCATTGTAAATTATTCTCTAGGTGTGCCTAGGGATTGAGAAGGATCGGAAATCTCTTGAAGCGATAAAAGTAACTTGTTCCACAAGTAAGCGTATTGGTAAAGCTTCAAGAGGTAAGCTCTATGTTTAAGGAGTCTTTTCCTGCTTGAGTGCTCCACCATGGTTAGTGAACTATGGTTGGACTGTATGACTGTGATTTAGATGCTTTGTATAGATGCATTCATATAGAGTTATTTGATAACATGATATGTTTTGCTCTGATGTGACTTCTGTAATTTGATTTCTGTAACAATCTCTGGCCATTGATTGTATAGTACCCGGACGTCCGCTTTGGGGTCCTCCCTCGGGACTGATGGTGTACTCCTCTGATATGTCTGGTTCCGCTTTGGGGTCCTCCCTCGGGAACACGTGCGTTGATTTCCGCTTGGGGTCCTCCCTTGGGAATGACGGCGCACATCTCTGATATGATATGGATATATGCTCTGTTCTGTTATGATATCTGTTATATGTTGTATTTGTATACTCTGTATCTGAATTTCATGCAGGAGTGAGCCAGGGGTATGGAGAATTCTCTATAAACCTGGAGCTTATTGAGATTTGTAATCTCACCCCTCTTTGGGGACACATTTTCAGGGGCCCAGATTTCCGGTGAGTCCTCACTAGGCAGGGACACGACACGTGGCTGAGGCAGTTGACAGACCGGATTTTGAGTGGCTGTAGGCTACTACCTTTTTGGAGTGTTTGATGTATTCTAGTATTTTCGCATTTGATGGATCATGATGTTGATCCTTTATTTTGTATATGGCCTGTATATGTTTTGTACATGTCTATCAGTTTGATGCATGTACATTTGAGTATTCAGGAACGTTATATGATGATGTAGTATTCAGATAGGTTTATGTTTTGATGGCATGCTGTTAGATTTAGTGGCACGGAGCCATGTTATGCATGCGCCCATGTATGGGTATTTGATTATATTTGGATATCTGGTATTTCTGAATTGATATGTTGTATAAACTGTTTATCAGGAAATGCTTCTGAGTGGGATTGGAAAAATCCCCAGTTGTCCGATTTATAGAGGAAACTCTGCCCGATTTTCGTTTACACCGAGTAAGAATTAAGTTAGAAAAAGAAAAAGTTAGCTCATATTTTTGTAAGTTAAGTCTTCCGCTGTTTCTGTTTGTATCATATGTATGTTAATTGAACCGGCTCGAGACGGGGATGTTACACATTGAGTCATTTAAATTCCAATCTACCACTATTTCACGGTAGCTTATAGGTTTTGTATTATATGCTGTCAATATGCGACGGCTGGATACAACCATGCATGTTTTTTGGAATTTCATGATAAAAGCACAAAATCAGACATGTAGTTTCCATTCAATTTTATATGATACATACCTCTTCGACTCTGAAAAGTGACTGTTGCACAGTAAAAGGGTGTTTGCCATCTAGAAACCTTCCATCAGTATTTGTAGATAGATTGTATAAATTCAATTTTGCACACCAACAAACATCTATTTTTCTCAAAGATGGACATGCCAAAGTATAATTTCCAGCATAGAAACCCTTGAGTTTGTATAAGCACCAGAGCAATAAAGTATTTAGTTCGTTAAACTCAAATAGGGGAGTTGTGCACATGGATCCTTCCTTCTCTGCAACAATTCCCTTCATGTTCCCACACCACTTTATAGAAAGTTCTTTGAGAAGTGAGCAGTGAGTGGCAACAGAAAATGGAAATAGATAGTCCAAGCTTCCACACTTACTTAGATATACATTTTCTAGATTATGAAAATGAAGAGTTCCTTCAGGATCCCTACTCCATGTCCTTTTCAGCTTTGGCAATGCTTCTAAAGTAATGCTTTTCAGTTGTGTTCCATCCTCTATACTGCTATTTTCATTCAAAGTCAAATCAAATATCTTTTCCACTAAAGCACAATCTGTAACCTCTAACATCTCTAGATTGTGATATGTTTCCTGGATTGAACAAGGAAAAACCACTACAATTTTCTTGCAGTTTTTAACTTGCAAAGTCTTCACTGTCTCAAATTGGTGGTGCCATATTGCTTCTAAGTTTTCCATTTCCTTCAATATGATTGTCTCCAATTTTGAAAATGGAACCTATGATTCACAATTTATGAAATCATAAATAATTAATTTGTATCAATGATAAATATTTATATAAATGCAAGTTCAGAATTGTAATATTGTTCCAAATGTTAGAATTACCATACCTCATTGAGTGAAGCAGTACCATTGTTTCTCTCTTCAGTGGCTATTATCTCATCCATCAAATGACATTTACTGATTTCAAGCCGTTTGAGGTTAATAAAACTTCCAACCATGGTGGATGAGAACAAGTACTTTAGCCCACCACAATTCTCCACAATCAAGTTTGTCAATTTGGAAATAGAAGGTTGACCGTCATCCCAAATTTTGTTCAAATTGAGTGAGCTCAACTTAAGGGTTTCCAGATTAGGAAATATAACCTACATTTAAACAAATTAACAAAAAAACTATTTGACAGGCAATAGGGATATTTATGATAACCATTACTCATTCCAATATATAACATGCTTTCTTGACATTGTATAAAGTTAGATTCATAATCAATCATTAAAAACAAAAAAAGATTAAATAGTTATATTAACTACTTCTTATAAATATAAAGACTTTACTTATCAAATTAAAAAGGAAAAAATGCATAGTAATTTTATTGTTCAGATCTTGATGAAAAATTCTCCAACTTTCTAAAACTTACAAATCGATCTTGCAGTTCACTACTATTAACATAGTTTGAGTTTTCAAGTAGCTACTATCATAGTCAAGTTTATTCAATAATGCCGTAAACATATCATTGAATGATAGTGCTAAGAAATTTTACACTGACAGTTCTATTAATTATCTAATATTCAACATCGAATATAAATAATGATTTTGTTAATACTATTATGATTCACCTCTAACATTATTTCCCTCAACCTCAAATATAAACCATGATTGATATTTTTCTATTCTTACCAACAACAAAAGACATAGCTCCGGATAGGCTACTTTTCTATTCTTACCATACTTATTATGCTAAACATTTTTCTCTTATTAATATTATGTATAATAACCCTCACATGTAGTGTGGATTTAATTATGAATTAATGATTTTAATCATGACATTGAAGAATAATTATAAAAAAAGTAGAAAAAAAAAGAAATAAAGTGATCTTTGGTGAAAAAGGAGTTAAAATGACAGTTAAGAAGTAAAAATACGGGTAAATAAAGTTACTCAAAAAGTGAAAGTAAATATAGAAATATTACCACAAAAATATTGTAAACCAATGTGTAAAGTTAATATGAGAGTTAAGTGAGCGGGATAGATGAACTTATACCCATTGGATTTATTTAAATCACTTAAGTGCCTAAGCCTCCTATTGTTCTTCATCTCCTACGCGACGTCTCCACATAGAGCAAGAACAGAAACAAAAATAAAAGTTTGAGAAAATCTTCAATATTTGATAACTTGAGCAAGGATCGATGAAATCAATCCATTCCAGAGCCTAAAATGTGTCAAATTTTATCTTCTACAAAACCGATAGCTTAGTTTTAGTTGGGAGTCATTATATAGAGAGATTTTTGCATCCTTAGGTCGCGGGTACTGTTCTCAAGAGGAGAAAAATGATGTTTTTCTTGGCTTGAAGGCTTGGATTGTCTTCCTCTTAGTGACTTGAAGCTTCTAAGGTAAATGCCCTAACTTCCCTCTTGTGTTTTTGGAGAAAATGCATGATATAGGGTTGTATAAATTGGGATTAAATGGTATGAGTAGTTGGAGGTTGATTTGTAGGTGAGTCCTTTTGTTAAACATGCTTAGGATTAGTTCTCGTAAAAGGAAAAATTATGAAATGGCCATTTAGGACACTTTGATAAATTGGACTAAAAATCAAGTGTAGGTTTCTTGTATGTGTAGTTTTGAAAATTGAACGTGGTAGACTGGTATATAAGAATACTGATTGTCTTCACATCTTGGAACTAGGTTGTGACTTTGTGAGAGATCGTGACTCTGTGGACACGAGAATTATTGGAGGACACTGCCTGCCAGGTAAGCTTTCGGTCCTTGGGGTTAATCCCCTGTTTGTTCCACCAGACTCCGAGGGAGGATGGTAGTTTTATATGGTATGTGGATATGGGGGTTAATCCCCCGTTTGTTCCACCAGACTCCGAGGGAGGATTGTAGTTTTATATGGTATGTGGATATGAATTGTTATATGTTGCATATATATGTATGTATGTCTGTGTGCCACACAAGACGGTGTTTCCTTGTGTGAGGCATAAGACGGTGTTTCCTTATGCATAGTATGAGACGGTGTTTCCTCACACGGTATGTTGCAAGATGATGTTTCCTTGTGTAAGAACCCGCACCGTTAATTAAGGTATTTAATTAATTAATTATGCAAAATTAGGAAATGATTCCATAATTGACCCTAATAATTATTAAGAGGCTTTAATAATTATGGTTAGTGATTAAGAATGCTGAAAGTCGCTTTTCGGAAGAAAAGTGCAAATACCGGTTCTGCTAGTCAGTATAAATGCGTACCGAAAAAGTATCCCGGAAAATTAAAGTATGTGCATGATAATTACTAGAATAATATGTAGGACTTGTAAAACGAGTTTCAAGTCCAAATAATGAGAAATGGTGCTAGAAACCGGCACTGGCTTTGAAAAGGGCGTACCGGAAAGGTGCTCAGAAAATTATAAGAAAAATATGATAATTCTTGGAAAAATGTGTAGTTTCAGAATCCAAAGTTTGGGTTTAAAATGCTAAGCGTAGCAATTAAAGCTAATACTGTGTGTTTAATGCTTAAGTGCCTATATATACTCTAATCATTGGGCACAAAACCCTAGAACCACTACTCCTACGTGACTTGAGCGGCTGAGTGCACCTTGGCACTGTTTCATTGCTGTTTTCTTCTTCCTTGAGAGTCTTGGAGCCATTTCTTCCTTGTTCTTTATGGTTTCTTCTTCTTAAACACTTGTGTGAGGGAGAGTCACCTTTGGGAAGGGGTTTGTGGTGCTGTTTCTGAGTAAGGAGGTCAGCTTGAGGGAGTGTTGGGGGCTGACTTTGGGTTGGTGGAGGGAGTGAACCTTGTGCTTCATTTTTGGAGGTCCAAGTAGCCACCTTTGGGAGGAAGAGCCTTGCTTGTCTTCCATTTTCGCACACCCTGTGTGGTCAGTAGTTGAGGGGCTGTTGGTGAGCTTCAAGAGCATCTCCATTCTGAGTTTTGAGCCTTGGTATGTTGTATCACCCTTTAACTTGAATTTTAAGGCTTAAAAATAGAAGCTTGATGCATGTTACGGTTAAAAGATTATAACTTGTTGTTGGGTAATGCTTAACACACCTAAAAATGCATGTTTAGGTGTTTAAAATCGGTAATAACCCAACCTTGAAGGATATCTTCACGAAATGCAGAAACTGCATTCTGTCGTGAAATATCCGGATATCTGCTCGTGGAATATCCGGATATTGGATATCCGGATATGATATCCGGATATGTGATATCCGGATATGGGGTTTTGGGATATCTGGATATTGGATATCTGGATATGGGAATCTGTATATCCGGATATTGAATATCCGGATATGGACAGTGAGATATCCGGATATTGCATATCCGGATATGTTCCCGTGGAATATCCGGATATTCTGGAATTTCGCAGAACAGTAGTTGTGTTGTGTGTACAGTAGGCTATTGGGAGTTTTTGGACCCTAGATTGATGAAGTTGAACTTCTGTAATTAAGGGACTAAGTCATAATCATGTGATTAAGGACTTGTGGCTTTGTTAGAAGCTTTAAGACATAAAACGTAATAAGAAGGCGTTGTCTTTAATTTGTATGCATGTGATACATGTTTATTGATTTATATTTGGTCCATATCAGATTGTGATCTGCTGTGATTGGACTTTGAGCTTGTGGCATTGGATAGCTAGCTTAGAGGTAAGCTTTCGTGTCCTCGGTTTAGCCATGTTGTGGTTCCACCATGTCCTATGGGGAATGGTATATGCATGTTGTGTTACATGCTTTTGATGTTTTGGAAATGTTGTTGAGCTATTGTATGTTAGTGCCTTGTTGATATGCATGGAGGTGTTCCACCTATACGGTAAGCCTGAGTATGTAGAACATACAAGAGGGTGAGGCTGTGGGTGAGGTGCAAGCGGTGTTCCTTGTACTACATGTAGGGAATAGACGTATTCCTACATTTCTCTGGCCAGTAGAATAGTGATTACACACATGCCATAGATATCTGTTGCACTACATAGTTTTGGAACTGATAACGATATAAATGCTTTTAGAACTTATATTGCACATGTAAGTGAGCTTGGGGTGGAAGATCCTTGAGGACCCCTTGTCTTACTGAGATTTCTTGTTTAGAGATCTCACCCCACGTTTGGGGAATGCTTATTTCAGGGTCAGGTAATGTTGAGACCTCAGGCGGCAGGAGGCCGGAGCTGAGTTAGATTGCTGTTATATTATGCTGCCATGATTGGATGCTGGATTTGCATGCTGTTTATATGCTTATAGCTTCAGTTATGTTTGTGGAGTTTTATGTTGAGACTGGTTGTTTACTATGTTTATTTGGTGAGCATGGGGATTGTCCATGACACATAGTATTGTTATGTCTTGATTATGTCTTGAGTCTTTTGGTGTTGTAATAATGTATCAGGATATTGTCCGGATTACGAGATGTAATATCGTGATGTAGATACACACTTTATTTATATATTGAGGTATTTCAGTAGATGTCTTGTTGCAATTTACATACAGGCGATATTTTATGAAATTGATTAAGTAATTAAGTTGGTAATTGATAATGACGTCATAATTGAAAAGAAAAAGAATATTCCGCATTTTTAATTAAGCACCGCTTAATACGATGTAATGTTAATATTTCGGGTATACACGGGGTGTTACACCTTGCGTAATGCATACTTGTTATATTCTCTGGCCAGTAGGATTACATTATTGCACACTGCATTGTCATACATATTCTGATGCATGCATGGATTTTTATATTGTGTTTATACCAGAAGTGAGCTTAGGGTGGAGGAGCCCTCCAAGAGTCCTTAGCTTACTGAGGTAATTATATTATCTCACCCCGCGTTATGGGGATTACCATTTCAGGTACAGGAGCTAATGGTGCTGAGGCATCGCGTGGCAAAAGGCCAGATGAGAGATACTACTTGACATGATTGTCAGGGTCTTACGGATATTTAGATTTGTACCTGACATACTTTATTTTGGGTTGTATGTGCAATGTATTTTTGAGAGCATAGGAGATGTCTATGCCAAGTTGATAGTCTGTATATGTGGTTAGTGATGCATGCTCAGGTCTATGGTACTTATTTAATTGCATCTCTTTTGTTTATTTGATGTAATTATTTAAGTAACATCATGGATATTATTTTGAGACAGTATGATATTGAGATAGCCTAGGCCATGGACGGCTGGGCAATATGTTTTATCTACGTTGTGGTATGCCTGAATTATATTAAACTGTCAATCAGGTTAAAATTAAAATTTTCATAGTGGGAATTATCTCCAGTTATTCAAAATACAGAGAAAATGTTGTCCGTTTTATTTTGGCCATGGAAGTGAAAAGGTTTGTAATACATAAGGAAAAAGGAAAATTTCTTTAGTTAGCTTCCGCATTAATTAAGTTGAGCATGCTGCGCTTACTATCATATGAATGTTAATTAACCGGCTAAAGACGAGGCATTACATTATGCAGGTTAAATTAATTTATAGGTTTCTATACTTTTTCGGAATGTTTAAATACGTCTTTCTAATTAAGAGTTTGCATATGGTCCCTATATTTTTAAAATATTCTATTTGGGGTCCTACGAATTAGATTCAGAAAGCTTAATTAAAAAATGTCGAAACTATAAAGATACCATTAAAAAAAGGTTCTCTTTTTCTCAGTCACTGCAAATAAGTTATCTGCAATAAGCTCAATACGACGTCGTTTTAGGACGGAAATCATGGTAATTTTGTAATTTTAATTTATTTCAGGATTATTATAGTCTTTATAATTATAATTTTTTAATCTTTCAATTCCAAAACGACGTCGTTTTGAGAATAAATGCAGATAACTTATCTGCAGTAACTACAGAAATATTTTTTTGTTAAAAAAATTGAGACTATAAGAATTGAACTACAAATTTTCAAAATCCCCACATCATTTGTAAATCTTAAATTATGTCGAGTTTCTTAGGGTGTCAAAACAAGTTATGACACGCGGGTCGACTTGCTACATGTCAAAACAAGTACAACTCCTCCAATTTAGTCAAGCTCGATATGATGTTGGGTGGGAAGACTTCAATACCAGAATAGCTCAAATCAAGCTTTCTTAGATAAGTCAATTGCCCTATTTCTCTTGGCAATTTTGTCATCGAAGATTTCCAAAGGCAAAGAATTTCTAAATTTTTCAAAGCTCCAATTTCATTCATATTTTCCAAAATGCATTGATCCAAACACAATGTTTGAAGCCTAGTTAGGAACTGAAAAGAAGTGGGTAACGAAGACAAGTTCAACCTTGTCAAATCTAACACTTTGAGGCTTCCCATTCCCTCAAAAAAAGGATTTGGGATTTCTAAAGAACGATTAGCACTATCCAAGCAAAAAAGCTTCACGTTAGGACAATCTAACCTTTGAGGAAGCTCATGAATATGACAACTATCTAAGATGATCTGCGTGCACCTTTCAAGAAAATTCTTTGTTGGCCATTTCAACTCAGTCTTTGGTTGCACAAAAAATACATATTGATCTCTTGAAGCTATGGAGATAGCTACTTCAGGAACAAGGTCATGCATTTGGATATGCTCACGTGTGTTATCTTCAAACAACAGACAAGACGCCTTCAAGGATCCAACTATTTTGTAAAATCTATGTCTTGCATCTTTCACAGTATTTATAGGCTTGAATATGTCCAAACCCATTGCAACTTTCAATAAGTACTCCACACTGGAGGAACCAAGTACAGCAAAAAGTAAGAGTACGTGCATTTCATCGCTCTCCAATGATTTGTAACTCAATTCCAAAGCAGAATAAGTCATTGCATCCACTCCCTGATGATCAACACTTTTTAATTGCCTTAATGCATCATTCCAAGCATGAATATCTTTATTTTTCAATGCCCGTGCTACCGTTACCAACCGAAGAGGAAAACCTGCGCATTTTTTTGCCACTTGATTTGCTATATCATGTAAATTGATATCCTTAACTACATCCCCAGCCATGAGTTGAAATAACTTCCATGTTTCTGCTTCATTCAAAACTACAACTTTGAAATTCAGTTTAGCATCCATTTCGACCAACACATCTTTATTTCTAGAAGTCATCAATAGCTTACAAGCACTATGTTCATCCTCAGAAGGAATTCCCACTTTCTTCAAATCAAGTTTGGTCCAAATATCATCAAGAATGACAAGGATAGTTTTCTCTACTTTAATTCTCTGCCTTAAGCGCGATGCTCTACCAACAACAGTCTCCTCATCAAATCTCAAACCCAACAAATCCGCAATCTCCCCTTGAATTGTTCTGAGGTCTGGAGTTTTGGATACATTGGCCATAACTACTGCATCAAACAATTTGTCTTGCTTAGCTATTTGAGCAACTTCCATCACCATATGGGTCTTACCCATACCGCCTAGCCCGTAGACCCCAATGTTGCGTACTTTAGGGTCTCTAAGAGCGTGCATAATGTCCTCCTTAATTGACTCTCTTGTCTCAAGCTTTTCATTACCACCTGTGCTGGAAGTGGAACCTACTCCATCCAAAGGAGGAAGGTAACAAACTGGATCGAATTTCCCTTTTCCCTGTACCTCAACAACCACATTTGCTATCTTTGAAGCTTTCCTACTAAGTTTATGACGTAAAATCAAATTGGGGAATGACCATCCAGAGCACCCCACCCTTGCACGACCAGGATCTTTCTGAAGCTGATTTGCCTCTTCAATGACCTCATTCACCTTCTCCAACCAGTTCTGCACATCTCTTTCTATTTCTTTTCCATTTCTTCTTTCTTCTTCAACCGAGTGGTTCAATCTTACTCTTGTATCCTCGAGCTCCTTGACATCATCATCTAGCTTCTTGAAATTGTCTTTGTAGAATATTAAATAACATGCTTGTCGTCCAATAGGTGCAACAGTATACTCCGCTACTTTTCCAGCAATGGAAATGAGAATATCCATTGAGACTGAAAGCAATAAACATTATTTTGGATGACAAAAAGATAAGAGAAGCATTTTATACACTCATGTTGAAAACACATTACCTTGAAACTCGAAACAAGGATAACCGGTTTGAATTTATACTTGAAGATAAGATAGTCGAAGGATCAAAAGCAGTTTCCCTACATAAAACATAGAAACTTAATGAAGTGGATATTTTAAAATGACTAACTGAATTTAAAATCAAAATTCGAAATTGAACTCAATGTCACTTACTTTATTTGATCAAAGCGACATTAAAAACTTCCTTGAAAATTTAGAACCCATTATGAGAAAACAAAGCTAAACTTGGGACTATGTTTATTGATAGAAAAGTGGAGAAAATTGAATTTCACTACAATCACGTAAAATCAACCTAGGATTTACATTTTAAGCTATTTTCAAAATATTAAGAGCATGTTTCGATCCTCTCTTTTTTTAAGCTAGAATAAATTAAAGCTAAAAAAAAGGATCTTAAACAAAAGTTAAAAGCTATTTGATGATTATATAAAAAATTTAGCTTAACAGCACATTTAAAAAAAAACTTTGTCTTTATCTCTATAGCTCTTCATTTCAAGAAAAAAAAAAAAAAACACACACAATTCAAGAAAAGCTGAAAAATGATCCAAATAGAGGATCCTCTATAGCTCTGCTTATAAGTAGCTTCTAGCTTAAAAAAGAGAGGATCCAAACAGGCACTAAGTTAGCTCATAAAATAAATATAAAAAGATTAAATAAAAATTTACTCAGTAATTATTAATGAAATCACAATATTTACAAGTAAAGTAAAAAGTAAAGATAGTATATGAATTAAAATATTTACAAGTAGGGGTGTAAATGGGCCAGGCAAGACCGGTCTACGTTGAGTCTGGCCTAGCTCGGACTACGTTAAAAAGTAGAGTAGGTTTACGCTTATAAGAAAGTCTTTTTAACAAGTAGGTCATAGTGATACAAATATTAAGAATCAATTATAATATTAAAAGGATTTTATGATAATTATGCTATTAAGATTCTTGATATTACCCATTAAACGTTATATGGCCCAATTAATTACTGATACACTTAATCTCAATCATTGATTTGATTTGGTATATGATGGACTTACCAGATTATGAGTTATGGAATATATATATATATATATATATATATATATATATATATATTAGAGATGATCCTCTTTCCCCTTCTACCCTAATGTCATTCTCTCCATCAGAATACATATCAAAGTAAAGAAGGCTTAGAGAGAGAAACTATCCTAACACAATTGCTCACAAGATGATGACTGTTGTTAATCCTTCATCATTGTTTTCGGGTATGTCTTTATTTCTTATGTGTATGTGAAAATCATGTATTCCCAAGATCATTTATCATATTCTTATTTTATGATTTATGAACATGATATATTATGCAAACTAATATGTGGTATCAGAGCTAAGGTTTAGGAATTCATGTTTTTCCATGTATGATTATGATCGGATTCTTGATTTTTTTGAAAGGTTAGGGTTTCTAAAATTTATGTTTTTCCTTAATGATTTTTAATATGATTCCATGATTTCATGTTTCAGAATACACGTCATATTTTTGCAAATTACTGTTTCCGAATCCAAATATTATCTTTGCAATTCACAAAAGGACAAAATTGTGCCTATTATGCTTTACGGAAACGATGTATACAATTTTGTGTCCATTAGTTTTGCTTAGAATTATGATTGATTAGTTTTGCTTTCTCTCGATAATGTGCGTTTGTATATAACAAAATGGTTATATGTTGAATTCAATTTAGATGTCGTCAACATAAATGATGTAAATACTGTTACGTACGGTGGTTTGTATACATATATAGATATATATAAATAGGTCAAAATAGGTAAGATTTTGATTTGATTTGATATATTTATTTGATATATATTACAAATTAATTTGACATTTAAATTAATTAAAGAATCGACTTATCATTTTCGGGTCATGGTTTCATGGATTTGAAATACTGTTTAAATTTATAATTATATATGATGGGATATTAATTCCATAATAGATTATGATTGCGTATGTAAGTAGTACATTGATAATTTTATGAAAAATGTGTATTGTTTATGTTATGAATAATGCGGTATGTATTTATGGGCATGATTTCCGCTGCTGCTGAATGAATTTTTTATTTTTTTATTTATATATTATTATATATATATATATACAGTAATGAATTTGAAATGTGTTAGTGATTGGATTAAAATTGAATGTTAAATTTTAATACTATAATTGTTAAAATAAATAAATAAATACATTGTTTATGTTATGAATAATGCGGTATGTATAATGGCATGATTTTTCGCTGCTGCAGAATTTATTTATTTATTTATTTTTATTTTTTTTATATGGGCATTAGTATGAAGATTTGCATCATTTATGTTTATAAAAAATAAAATAAAAATTACAATATGTATATTTGAAGTATGGATTGTAAGGTCTTATATATACTTATTGTTAATTTTTATTGATGCAACATATTGTGATTATGAAATGAAATTGATCTGTTAGTTATTTTCACATATTATGTTATAGCTTGTTAGTGACCAAAGTGGCCAAACTAATAGTGTGTAGATAACATAAAAGTTATTTATTTGTGTGCATTATGATTAAAGTTTGTTAGTCACCAAAGTGGCCAAACTAGAATGTTATCGCATGCATAAAATTATCATTTATCCATATTTAAATCATGTATAATGGCATGATTTCCGCTGCTGCCGGATGAAGTTTTATATAGGCATTAGTATGAAGATTTGCATCGTTCATGTTTACAAAAAAAAAATTGCAATATGTATATTTGAAGTATGGATTGTATTGTCTTGTATATACTTATTGTTAATTTTTATCGATGCAATATATTCTGATTATGATATGAAATTAATCTCTTAGTTATTTTCACACATAATGTCGTAGTTTGTTAATCACCAAAGTGGCCAAACTAAAAGTGTGTAGATAACATAAAAGTTATTTATTTGTGTGCATTATGGTTATAGTTTGTTAATCACCAAATTGGCCAAACTAAAATATTATCGCATGCATAAAATTATCATTTATCCATATTTATTTGTGTGCATTATGATTATAGTTTGTTAGTCACCAAAGTGGCCAAACTAGAATGTTATCGCATGCATAAAATTGTCATTTATCCATGTACTTATGAAATACCAATTACTGATATAAATTGGATAAATTGACGTTGCTGATTATTATAAATGAGGGATTTACCCAAAGGTGAATCATATTATATAATTAGTGACATTATGTGACAAATTAATATTTTGATTAAATATGTTTTGATTATCCAAAGATAATGGATATATTTAGTTCAAAAAATATTTTTGTCTATTAATGTTCAGGTATTTGCTTATGATAAGTATATTATAGTATCTACCCAAAGGAGTACTACTTTGTGCTTGTATGATTTTATTAAAATCACTACTTAATGTTGTTTATAATGTTGGATTTAAGCGTAACATAGAGAATGGGAGTTTTGTTTTCTTGTGGCATAAAAGATTGGGTCATGAATCAAAAGAAAGAATAATAAGATTGGTGAAGAATGATATTTTTCCAAATTTAGATTTTACTAATCTTGAATTATGTGTGGATTGCATTAAGGGAAAGCAAACCAAACATAATAAGAAAGATGCCACAAGAAGCACCTAGCTTCTAGAGATTATACACACTCATATTTGTGGACCTATGGACACTCCAGCTTTTAATAGGGAAAAATATTTCATTACTTTTATTGATGATTTTTCACGTTATGGTTACATCTATTTGCTTCATGAAAAATCTCAATCTGTAAATGTCCTACAGACATTCATTAAGGAGGTTGAGAGGCAGTTAGATAAAAAGGTGAAAATTGTAAGGTCAGATAGAGGTGGTGAATATTATGGTAAATATAATGAGTCGGAACAATGTCCGGGTCTATTTGCAAAATTCCTCGAAGAGCATGGCATATGTGCACAGTATACTATGCCAGGAACACCACAACAAAATGGTGTGGCAGAAAGGCGTAACCGGACATTAATGCATATGGTCAGGAGCATGATAAGTAACTCCTCATTACCCAAGAAATTTGTGGACTTATGCGCTTAAAAGTGCGACCTACTTGCTGAATAGGATTCCTAGTAAGGCAGTTCAAAAGACTCCTTTTGAATTGTGGACAGGAAGGAAACCTAGCTTAAGGCACATGCATGTTTGGTGTTGCCCAGCTGAAGCAAGGATTTATAATCGACATGAATGAAAGTTAGACTCTTGAACGATTAGTGGATACTTTATTGGTTATCCTGAGAAGTCCAAAGGGTATGTGTTTTATTGTCTAAACCATAGTCCGAGAATTATGGAAACTGGTAATGCAAGATTCGTTGAGAACTGCGAAGTTAGTGGGAGTTCTAAAAGGGAAATTATGGAAATAAAGGAGACTGGGATAAATGTTTCATTGCCTATAATTGTTACTCCATCTACTAAATTCCCTAATGTTGTTCCAGTTGTTATAGAATAAGATGACAACACTGAACAACATTTGAATGAAGAAGAACTCCCAGCAGATGCTAACTTGCAGAATACTAATGCACAAGAACCACATGAAATAGAATTAAGAAGATCCTAAAGGGAACGTAGGCTAGCTATTTCGAATGATTATGTGGTTTAACTGCAAAAGTCAGATTATGACATTGGAATCAATAAAGATCCAGTTTCGTTTTCACAAGCCATAGAAAGTATAGAATCTGATAAATAGATTGAAGCTATGAAAGAAGAGCTAAAATTCATAGATCAGAATGATGTCTAGGATCTCGTCGAATTACCTGAAGGTTCCAAAAGAGTCGGTTGTAAGTGGGTCTTTAAGACGAAACATGACTCTAATGGTAATATCGAACGATATAAAGTTAGACTTGTTGCCAAGGGTTATACTCAGAAAGATGACATTGATTATAAAGAGACATTTTCACCTGTCTCGAAAAATGATTCATTAAGGATAATTATGGCATTAGTGGCTCATTATGATTTAGAGCTACATCAAATGGATGTGAAAACAGCCTTTCTTAATGGTGACTTAGACGAGGAAGTTTATATGGATCAACCTGAAGGTTTTTCCATGGAAAGTGAAAGAAAATTAGTGTGTAAACTCAAGAGGTCAATATATGGACTTAAGCAAGCATCCCGACAATGGTATATCAAGTTCAATACCATTATTACATCTTTTGGATTTGAGGAAAACACTGTTGATCGGTGTATTTACCAGAAGATCAGTGGGAGTAAGTTTGTTTTCTTAGTTCTTTATGTTGACGACATCTTACTTGCTGCAAATGATTTGAGTATATTGCGTGAGACTAAAGATTTTCTCTCAAAGAATTTTGAAATGAAAGATATGAAAAATGTGTCCTATGTGATTGGAATAGAAATATTTTGTGATCGATCACAAGGATGTTGGGACTATCTCCGAAAGGATATATTGAGAAAATTCTAGAGAGATTTAATACGAGTAAATGCTCACCTGTGGTTGTTCCTGTACAGAAAGGTGATAAATTTAATCTCATGCAATGTCCAAAGAATGATGTTGAACGGAAAAAGATGAAATCAATTCCATATGTCTCTGTTGTGGGTAGTTTAATGTATGGTCAAACTTGTACGCAGCCGGATATCAGTTTTGCGGTCGGGATGTTGGGCAGATATCAAAGTAATCCAGGAATGGAACATTGGAAAGCTGCAAAGAAAGTTTTAAGATACCTTCAAGGTACGAAGGATCACATGCTCATGTACAAAAGATCCAATGGATATACCTATTCAGATTCTGGTGGATGTCTTGATAGTAGAAAGTCAACATTTGGCTACTTGTTTATGTTTGCTCAAGGAGCAATATCATGGAAAAGTGCAAAACAGACTATCGTTGCTTCATCCACTATGGAGGCAGAATTTGTGGCATATTTTGAAGCCATAACTCATGCATTATGGCTGCAGAACTTTATTTCAGGGCTTGTGGTTGTCGACACCATTAGCAGGCCGCTGAAAATTTACTGTGATAATTCTGCAGCAGTATTCTTCTCTAAGAACGAAAGATACTCTAAAGGTGCCAAACGTATAAAGTTAAAGTATTTTTTGTTAAAGAGGAGGTTCAAAAACAGAGAGTGTCAATTATGCACATCAGAACTGAACACATTATGGCAGACCCTTTGACAAAAGGGTTACAACCAAAGCTATTTAAATAACATGTTGAAAGTATGGGCCTTGGTTGTATTAAAGATTATTGATGTGTGACACTCTGAGCTCACCTATGTGTTTCTGACATACATTATGTTTCCTTATTATTTTATGGTTGTATACACATTATGAATTTTGACAAGGAAGTCTTTGTAAGACATTATGTGGACCATTATGTTTCCTATATTATGAATTTTATGTGATGGATTGTTGGTGTTGTAGTATATGGAAGGGAATGTACTGAATTAATAGCGCACTACTACCATAACTCACACTTGACAATTTATCTTTTATGATGACTAACATTAGAGATGCATGTATATTAGGATTAATCGGGCCAAGTGGGAGAATGTTAGAAATATTAAGAATCAATTATAATATTAAAAGGATTTTATTATAATTATAATATTAAGATTCTTGATATTACCCATTAAACGTTACATGGCCCAATTAATTACTGATATACTTAATCTCAATCATTGATTTGATTTAGTATATGATGGACTTACCAGATTATGAGTTATGGAATATATATATATTAAGGATGGTCCTCTCTCCCCTTCTACCCTAATGTCATTCTCTCCATCAAAATACATATCAAAGTAAAGAAGGCTTAGAGAGAGATAATATCCTAACACAATTGCTCACAAGATGATGACTGCTGTTAATCCTTCATCATTGTTTTCGGGTATGTCTTTAGTTCTTATGTGTATGTGAAAATCATGTATTCCCAATATCATTTATCATGTTCTTATTTTATGATTTATGAACATGATATATTATGCAAACTAAAACATATGCCAATTTTGTCAAGCCTGGCCTAAAGCCTTATAGGCTCTCCTATTTAATTGTTTAAAATAAAATAAAATAATATATTTATTTTAGATTGACTCTATTCCTCTCGGATATAGATTATAGAGCTGGGGTATTATGTTGACTCTTTCTTATTTGTCATTTTTTATGAATTATAAGAAGTACTAGAGCATGCATGAATGAAACTTTGCTCAGTATATTTTTATAGTTATTTTTTTTACTATTGTAAAATTGTTAATGCTCACTAGTGAAATTTATATCTCGTGTAAAAAATGCAGCAATTTATGAACACGTTAATGACTTGTAATGTCAAGCGAATATTTTAAAATTTGTTAAAAATATTTTAATTTTTATTTTAAATATTTAAAAATATATCACTATGGAGGCCTACAAGGCCTGTAGGCCATATGGCTATCTAATTTTTAAAAATAGGTCAGGCTTGGCCTATAAATAAAGCCTTTAGTAGGCCAGATAGACTGAATATTTTTTTACGTAGGCTTAGGTCAGAAACGCTAAAGTCCGGCCTAGCCTGACCCATTTGCACCCCTATTTACAAGTTAGAAGATAATTAAATGAACAAAATAGACTAATATACTAAACAAATAAAAAAGACTAAATTTTTTAAAAAAAACACACAATTTGAATTGCTAAAGAATAGGAAATTCAAAAATCATGCAATTTTTTAAAAGTTGTGATTCGGTTCATTTTGATTAAACAAGAATCTGGTTTTAAAATGGAATAATTCAAACAAAGCAACAAAGGCTAATAAACATATATACTTAATCCAGAAAATAATCTAGATAAAAGAAACGTGTAAAAAATAAATATATTAAACATGCCAATTAAAAGATTATTTATTTATTATTATTATTTATATATGTATATTATTTATTTTAAATTTGTATTATTTTAATGTTAATTTTTTAGGTCAGATCAAGATTAACTGCTGACAAAACATACCGAATAAAATTTACAATATATATATATATATATATATATATATATATATATATATATACCGAATAAAAATATTAATAGCATATTTAGATGAAATAATTTTAGGACTCAAACTGTTGTTAATTAAAAATATAACAAAAAACTTAATAAAAACAATTATATTCGGTAATTATTTCCAAACGTGTTATAAATCATTTAATTGCATAAACCTCTTATATATATGAAAAGGAGCAACTAAGCAGATTCACCTGTAGTTGGGTTTTTGGCAATACCGACGGTATGTTTTTTAACAAATAAAGTGATGTAAATAATTTCTGAATCTGAGACCAAATAATCTGCATCAAATAATAATAATAATAATAATAATATAAATAAATTTTTTTTTTTTTTTTTTTTTTTTTGGAAATAGACTGCAAGAATGGATAGAAATTTTGAGCTCCAAGAGGTACAACGTGTATCTGAGTTAAGGAGAACAAATGCTTACCTCTAGTGACTTGTTGAGGAAACTCCAATCCAATACTTCAAACGAAGAGAGTGAATACTCAGAACTGATGGTAGGTCCTTCACCAGGTATAAGCCCAACAATTTTTTTATTTTTTTTTTTCTATTTTGTGATGTTATATGAGCTCGGAAAGAAAAAAGGAATCTGAAAGGCAAATAACACTCAGACCAAAAAGCAAACAATATGAAACATTTTCTTCATTTTCCTTTTAGATTTTTTTGGTTGGATTTTCTGGGTTTTATGAGCTCAAATAAGATACTCTAACTGGGAATCAAAACAACAAATCTCAAAGGCAAATTTAAAGACTCAAAATAAAGACAAACAATCAACAACATAGAAACGCTCTGGAACTTGGATTTTTGGGTTGTACGATCGACATGAGAAACAACTAACTTTAAAGCAGAATAGAGAAACCTTACAAACAATCTGCAACGCTCTTTTCTCTTTGTTTTTGTTTCAAACTAAAAGCAAACGCAAATTGTAAGCAAGTAAGTTTTTGGATGGGCTTAATCACTTTCTGATGGATTTCAAGAATAACGATGAAATGGGAAAGGAGACGCTACAGATATATGTCTATATCATGTGCTTCTTCCTAGAAAATAATTACAAAACAATACAAAGAATAAAAAAGAAAGAAAAAAAGCAACAATTACTGGTGGCAGCAATAATTGCCAACACAAAAGAACCAATAATTGAGTAGACCAAATCACCATCGGAGCGAAAAATAAAGGTGATGGTAATTCCTCACGCGTGATAAGACCAAAAGGCAAACAACATGATGAAACAACTTTTCTCTGTCTCTCTCTCTCTCGTCGGCTTTTTCGTGCTGATTGAGCTGCAAAATAAGAGTAAGGCGACGTGTAGAGGAAAAAAAAAATTTATCGACAATCGTGATTTTCAGAAAAATGACGTGAGAAAGTGACTTTTACGAGAATGTTAATAAAAAGTTATTTAGTAGACTAAAATATTTCTGAAAATACTGAGTTAATTTTCTTAATTCTATATTTAGTTATATTAAATTTTTCCTACAATATAAATCCTAGAATACCACTCTTGGATAGTATTTTTGGATGGTATTTTTAAAAAATTTACATACAAAATAAAATAATGAGAAAATCAGATTTTCAAAAAATATTTAAAAATCCTATACCAAACGTGATAAATATAATTACCATTTTCAGTTTCTTGAGAAAAGATGTCTCCTAAATCGAACAATCAACTTTTTACCTATTTTAATTATTTTTCTTTGGGTTTCTCGTGTTGTACATGAAGTGTAATTTACGTTAGTTAATTAATTCGAGTGACTAGCACCTTGGTGGACTTTTTTTTTATGCAGCAATTACAACTAGGACATCAAGTATACTTAATTTTGGCTTTTTGACCCTTATGCCCCTTAATTAATAATTAATTACCAAATTGCCCCTCATTCAAAACTATTTCGAAAATTTACCCTTCCCAACAAACATAACACCAATCTGCCCCTGTTTGACCGTTGACCGCGAAGCCTACCCGGGTACACCATTACCTACCCGGGTAAATTTTGAAACTTTTTATCTACCCGAGTATGTAGGGGTGTACCCGGGTAGAGTTCTTGAATCTGGGAAAATGTTTGAATTATTTACCCGGGTACGTAGCAGTGTACCCGGGTAAATCGCGTCCAGAAACCCCAATATGTATGGGTTTCGGCCATTGTTGCGAGGTATAGGGTTTTTGAAACCCCAAATCTTTCTCTCTTACCCTCTCTAATCCGAAACATCACACATATTTCATCTCATCATTTCAGAAAGCTGAATCTTGGGGGGACATTGAGATTACATCTCCACACTCCCATTTTGTGCTAAAAAATCTGAACCAACCTCCAAACCCAAAACCTAGATCTAATTTTTGTGTGAAAGATGAGTTCAAGTCCAAACATGGTTCCTATAGTTGTTTACTACAATGGGAGGCATTTTGAAGGTCCGAACGGTGTCCGATTTGAAGGAAAAACAAAAACGATGAAAATCAAAGTGGGCACTACATGCAATGAACTGAAGGAGAGAATTCTTCAAAAAATGGGGTCAGAAGGCATACATTCCATCCACCGCATGATAGCCAGGTTAGAGACTGTAGTGGATATGGATACAATATACTACATTGGAAACGATATAAATGATGATGAAGATGTGGAGTTCGTAACAGATGCGTTTGTTGAATGGAAAGTATTAAAATATATTGAGATATATGTTGAAGTTGATGTTGGACAATCTTCATCTTTACCGGTGCATACAACCACTACTGCACACTGTACCGGTCAAGAAGATACAGTTGTACGATCTTCTGCACCTCCTCAGGTAGCATGGGATGAGGATGAAGAGGATGAAGACGAGGACTATGTGGACAGCGAAGAGGAGGGAGAACCTGAAAGTGCTATTCCAGAAGGTGATTCGTCAGACACTGATGTGGACGGTAATTTTGAGGCTGACATGAGCGCCGTAAGTCTCGGTACCCCAGCCTTGTCACCACTTCATGTCGACCCAGTCAGTAGTGGTAAGTTATTAAATTTGAATATTTGCTTTAGACAATTTATTATTTGTGGTAAGTTATTAAATTTGACATGATCTTTAGATGCAGGGTCTGAGGAGCCATTCTGGAATGAAAGCCAACATTATTCATTCATTAACTGGGCGCACCCTAATGACGAGTTGGAGATCCTATATGGCGATGATGACTTGCACGGAGGTTGGAAGTTAGGAGATCCGTTATTTGTGCAACAAGAATTTGGGTCCAAACCAGAATTGCAACATGCTGTGAAGATACATTGTATGAAGGGGCGCAGGACAGCCATAGTTGAAAAAAGCGACGAGTCAAGATTTGTTATGAAGTGTAAAAACCATGCTGACGGTTGTCCCTGGTATATGAGGGCAATTAAGCCGAAGAAGGGAGCTAACTGGGTGGTCCGTAAATGGGGTCAAGGTCACACATGCCTAAATCAAGGCCTAGCACAGGATCATAGACAGTTGGATTGAACAAAATGCTAACAAAATGGATTGAACAGCACCTGCTGCTGCATCTGCAACTGGTCTACCCGGGTAACTCGTAATGATATACCCGAGTACATACTACCCGGGTAGACTATTCGTGGTACCCGAGTAGACCAGTTGCAGATGCTGTTTTGGCAATTTTTGTTGCATTTTGGTAATTGTTGTGCAATACCTACATACGGTATGACTTGGGGGTGGATTGACAATATTAATGCAAGGTCCCATACTAATGCATAGAACCAACAAGTCTGAACGTGCACAAAACGAAAATTTCATTCATTCAAATTTTGAATATGCAGTACAAAAACATCCATGCAATGTAGGTAAAGTTCCTAAATGTACCAAAATGACTACATTACATCAAACTAAATCAATGATATGAAACCCTATGGACACACTAATCCGATGCCGTGTCCTCCCCATTCTCTTCATCCGATTGTGTGTCATCCCCATTGTCATCATCCTCCTCCTCCTCCTCCTCCTGAGTATGGGCACCCTCGCCAATTAAACCCTCCAAGCGTGAAACCCTTGTGTCCAACCGTGCAACCCTTGTGTCCATCTGGTTTCGCCACTTGCTCGTGCTCTGTCTATATCCTCTAAAGTCAGTAGTCAGATCATATAAGGATGCCATGACATGATCAAGTGTCCATCCACCCTCAGGAGGAGCTGGTGGTCGCCGACTGCGGGTGGGACGTGTCGGTCTGACATCAACCTCAGCAACGCCATCATCATCGTCATCATCATCAAGGCCTACATCATAAACCATGAAAAACAAACTTCAATACCACATTAAAAATTAAACAACACAAAATTGCATAAACTCATAAAGACCAACACATCACCTGCAGGTGCATCCTCCATCTCAGCATCGTGGTGGAATGGGATCTCAGGTGGTTCTGGTGCCTTCTTCCACGTCCAGATACCCGCTCTGTTCGGTAGGATCCCACACTGCTTCAGGAGCCTCTCACCAAATATAGCATTCCAGCCTCTGGCGGTCTTCAAGGTCTCTGTTGCCATAGGCACTCCAAATCTATGCAGAATCTTCTGCACCAGAAATGCAAAAGGCAATTCAGCCTTCTTTGACTTGGCTGCCTTCCACATCAGTATGCATATGTAATGCCTCCAGTTCACCTGCTGACTGTGAAGGAGGGCCCACAGGATGACAAAGTCCCCTTCCAGCACCTTTGAGTGATTATGCGGGCGCTGGAAAATAATATGTGTCACCACATAATGAAGAATGCGAGCAGAAACTGACAAGTTGCTAACAGGATAATGAGCAAAATGACCGGGCTCAGCGTCTGCCCTCCTAGTCTCTGTAACAATGGTCTCCCGGTTATAATCACCAAATATATGATGGCTGTCTCCATCATATAGTGCTGCTCCTGTGACACCATCAAAATCGAACCCCAGTAGCTCCGTCCAGATAGGAGCAGTCATGATGATATCAATCCCGCAGACACGGGAAGTCAGCTCGCCTTGCGAGTAGCCAAGGTTCTGGTAGAAGGCTCTTACCATAACCTCCGAGTATGGGCACCGCATCTCCGCCAGGTGAAGTAAATGTGTCTGCTCAAGAAGCGGCACGATGTCAAAACGCTCTAGGTTGAAGAATGCCGAATCCAGTGATTTCGGTTCGCAGATCTTCCGGGTCATGAAAAACTTCACGAACTTCTCGTGTGAAGGAATGTCATCCTCAAACAAATATCCGAACGTCAAGTCCGGAGCCTGACTCGAAGCAGCCTGGGGCTGAGAGGATGACGACCCATCGTGACGACTCTTGGTTCTTCTCTCGGAATGGGTCACTGGCAGCTTTGAAACGCGTCGAGAGGTCATTGTGTCACACTATTAAACTGAAAAAATAACCAAAATCAGAAATTAGATACATGTTAGGGTTAGGGTTAGGGTTAGGGTTAGGGTTAGATTCAGGGTTAGGGTTAGGGTTAGACAAATTGATAAAATAATTCGGACAGAATCAAATGATATAAACGAAAATACAATGAATCAGAACAGAAATCATAACATAATTGAAAAAACTGAAAAAAAAAATTCACCTTTGATCGATTTCAATCGGTAGAAGGCAGAGATGTTGCAAGGTCCGCGAATGATGATCACAAACAAGACGAATTAGTGCAAGATTCTGCCTGAAATCGCTCAAGATGACACTCCTCCAACAGCTCTACTCGGGTACCCCTTTTGTGGGTTTTCGAAATGGGGCTGCTGGGGTATTTTAAAACCCTACCGTCGATGTTTACCCGGGTACACTGCTCCGTACCCGGGTAAATAATTCAAACATTTTCCCAGATTCAAGAACTCTACCCGGGTACACCCCTACATACTCGGGTAGATAAAAAGTTTCAAAATTTACCCGGGTAGGTAATGGTGTACCCGGGTAGGCTTCGCGGTCAACGGTCAAACAGGGGCAGATTGGTGTTATGTTTGTTGGGAAGGGTAAATTTTCGAAATAGTTTTGAATGAGGGACAATTTGGTAATTAATTATTAATTAAGCAGCATAA